TTCTGAAAAATTCTGCTTGCTTAGACACAATCGTGCTAAGAGAATTAATTTCGCATTACTAACAGAACAAGCATAATCATCCAATTTTGCATTTACTTGCATATATAAAAGTTATTAAAAGGATTATAGCATCCTTTGACATTAACTTTCACACCATCATGATTCCAGAGCAGTGCAATGGGGCTTCAGAAGCATTAAAGCTAAATACTCATGCCTTGCCCATTTATTTTTAAAAGCAGAGCAGTTCATTTCGATGCTATTTAACGTTTATGCTTGACGTAGAATTACATAAATTCAAGTAAGAAAATAATCAAGATCCTTGATCTACAGGAATACCAGCCCAGACAGGCTCCCTTCTCATCAGTGTGACTTCATTTGCTCTTTCCAGTTCCTTTCAGCTTGGGGAAGTTTAAATCGAAAAGATAATTATAAAACTTAAATCTTGCCACAAAAAATTAATCTTATATTGTTTAATGTTAGTCATTATCTCCATAAGAGTTTAAAGCACATTTAGATAGCAAGCTTAACTCCAACAATCAGCTCATTCCTGTTTGCAAAGTTCATTAGTTCTGTGGCCTGTTCTGTGGTGTATTCTGTGCTAACATGACTGCATTAAAACGGAAAGATATTAATTTTGTGCCCACAAGACACTTGTTAGTGTTAGGTCAGAGGTTGGACTCGATGATACTGAGGTCTCTTCCAACTTAGATAATTCTGTGATTATTTAGTCTCTTGCTGTCGCCAAAAAAAATAATTTGGATATAACAAAACTGGCAGTATTCATTGCATTACTGGATTTGCACTGCAAAACTTAGTAGTGTTAGTTAGAAGATATGTAGGCATTCCCAGTTTGATGCTGGATTGTAGTCATTATTTAAATTCAGGTCTTATAGTTTACTCTATATTGGCTATAATTTGTTAATTTCATTTGCCTTCATACAAAGCAGCCTTCACAGTGGCGCACTACAAAATGCAGAGGGTAAAAGCAGGGAATGGGACGTAGTGGGAGAAGGTGTCACACAACAGCAGCTCATGACACCCTGTAAGAATGAAGCTCTCACCTCCTCTTCTCCAGGATTTCGGACCACTGCAATTTCATGGTCAAAGTGCCAGCAGCCCCTTGCCATTCCTGCCCCGAGGCCTTGCAAGCTCCATGCCAAGAGAACACAGACTTTGATGGCAATAATTATTCTCTGCCTCTCAACCTACCCAAAGCATGACTTGAACAGCACAAAACCATTTTAAAAAGTGGGAAAGTTCAATAAATACGGCTGAAATTTTCAAAGGATACAAATTAAAAAGAAGTTCATCTCCTTCTGGACACGAGAGATACTAATAAAACCAACTGATGGTGGGTTTGGACACTTTTCACAACGGGTTCAGGCTTGGGTTTTACAACTTAACCACATCCATCCTGCTTTGCACTGTATTGTATCACGAAAGTGAAGCTATTTTGTTCATTTAAGATTCTTCCTGTTGCTGTTTCTCTCCACTTTTTTGATGTTATGCAACAGATGGCCAATATTTGTTGCAAGTCTTATCCAATTAAACACATCTTACAAAGGGTCATCTGCTAGAAGCTTCAATGTCACTTTCCTTCTCTCAGCACTCACAGAAAACACCCCAAAGTAACAGCCACCTCCCAGGAAATCAACAACAAACTCTGCACTAGACCGATTACAGTCAGAAATCTATTGCCAAAGTAATTTAAACCACTTAAGACAACAAACTCATAGAGAAACCAATTAAAGAATTAAGAAAATTCACCCCTAGCCAATGGGTGGCAGGTTTTTCCCCAGCATGTTTGAAGGGCACATTACTCACTTCCAAGAAGCAGATTAATTTCTTAGGTCTGGTAGTTATGAAAATTACATGGCTGAGTGACTGACACAAGCTACAGCAATTCTTTCCAAATAGCAAAAATGGTATTTATAGGAAATGCCTGTGGGTTCCGAAGTAGGTAATACACACAACAAAACACGAAACCATGGAAACAGGTCATTTAATTACGAATGAATTATTTACATTTGCAGTAGAACTTTCAAAGAAAAATATTTTTCAAAACAAAGAAATAGCTGAGGATGGGAGATCTGCAGTAAGGAAACCAATATGGCAACAGTCAGAGGAATCTCGTCATACAGTCACTGTGACTCTTACAACTTGGGCATGACTTCAGGAAAATTAAACCATTGGTACCCCCCCGGTCTACTAATTCAGCACCATGCACTCGTGTAAAGCCCTGACCGGTTCCCACATCCTGGCTCCTCGTGCTTTGCCATCTCAAACATTTGCACACTCAAGGCAACACCGCATCGGGAGCCAGAGCTGGCACAGCGATTATTTCTTCAGTCAGGGTTACACGACCACTTTCATTTGACATATGGCACATTACTGTCAAAACCAGCAGTCCTGTCTGCTTGCTTCTATGTATTAACATTTAGGCAGCCAATTTTTTTTTGGCAAGGTTGGATTTTAGCTGGATCCATTCCCTGAGCTAGCTCAATGCACAGAACGTGAATGTTCCCAGAGCACGAAAACGGATACAAGACCTCCGTAGCAGCCTAGACTTATGCTAGATTTATACCAGATAGAGCAGCCGCGTGCTAACGACCTATGCGAATGTCAGAACTCAATCCATCCTGCATGACAAAGTCAATGAACAGAGCTGCTCTCTTCAGGTTGTCTAGATGGTTGACAAAGATATCAAAACATTTTTCAAGCACAGAAAACACTCCAAGAATTCAATCTTTATTTCAGAATATTCCTCAAAATTAAGCCTAAACTTGAGTTCTTAAAAAACAATGACAGCTATTCTCGTTATGTCGTATGACATATTGTTGTTATTATGTCTTGTTATTACATCATAGGTAGAACCTTGACTGCAAATACACTAGGAACAGTATTCAAGCATTTTCCACTGTATGGTCATGACATATTTGTGCAGTTTTTCTTGGCTCACTGAAGCAGCAATATAAACAGTATTTCTCAGTTTATGTCACACAGAATGAGTAGTTTTCTCATGATGTGGCAAGGTAAATACTATTTTCTATGCCCTACATTTACTAAAAGCAATATATTAGTGTAAGTAATAAGCAAGGCATACACGTCAGCGACATGCCAGCAGACATTTGTCTGAGAATATTGCTTACTGGAGGACAAGGATTTCAAGCAGCAGTGAGGGACTAGAATTGAGTAAGCCATCACTCAAGTCCAAGAAACCAAAAAGAAGCATTCTACCAGCGCTCTGAGATTGCAACTCCTTTCTACTGATTGTGAAACACAAAAAGAAAGGGTCGAGTCCAAAAATGATGTAAACTACTTCCTGTTAATACTGCCTTTTCTGATCGTTTTTCTTCACGATTTTACTACATGACATATTAGCACTATAAAAGAGATCATAATGGCAACTGAAAAGCTAGATCAGTGCACCTCAAATCCATAATTTAGGAAAACAACATCCAAAAGTCAAACAAGAGTTTCATCTTTCAGTCAAGAGTTTTTAAAAGCACAGACTACTAACAGGAAAAATAAGAAATTGCTCTATTTTTTTTTTTCCATTTGTGTTAAAAAAAATACACAAATGCCTCTTGAAAAAAAATAAATGCTCAAATCACCTTGTTTTGAAATTCTGACATAAATAACCATTTCCCCCACTAACTCAACTGTCCCTCCTCTTATATACAGTGAAAAAAAGCAATCAAGCCTTTTTGTAAGATGTATTTAACATCATTATAAATTAGTCATTTATGAAGTCTCCACAATGCACTCACGGACACCTGGGATGCTGTATTATTTCAAGACCACTAAAAGTACTGGTAGATGAATTAATTTTAAGGAGAAGTTGTTGCTAGAGACATGGTATGAATCACCCCACTAGGTACTTGGGTCAGTTAAAAAGGACCCATTTAATTTTTCTTCAGGAAGAAGAAAGTATATGGCAAAAATTAGGTGTCATCAGACTCCCTGCTTAACCCTAGTGCTCTTCTAGCACTTCGGTGAGGCGGGGCAGGGGGAAAACACATAGAAAACCAGCCCCTTGGCCTGGCACCCAGCCCCAGCATGACATCTGGGAGCAGTTAGTCACTAGGTGCGTAGTGCACCAAACACAAAGCTGCATCCTACCGGGCAGCACAGCTTGGCTCTAGGCTGCAGTTGGGTCCCACATTTCTAAATGACGCTGCTGTGGGAGCAGAACTGCCTGCATCCATGCACGCAATGCACAGCCACAAACACAAGAACACGCACCCAGTCCCCGCAAACGTAATGAACAAACAGCACTGCTGAGAGATTTCCATGAGCCCACAGAGAGAAAAGGCACGGATGCTGTAATTAAAGCACTTCAGGGGGACAAGGTTTCCTTGTTGTTCTACCAAGCCTATCCAATGCTGATGGAAAACAGCAAAAACCCAGTGCAGATGACAAAACCTCCAGGTCTGTTAAACAATCCAAAGAGTCTGTGGCAAGTCACCTTGCTTACATAGTTTCCCCAGTGCTACCACGTATGTTTATGCATCTCTTACTTCCCAAGCCAGGCATAAACCAGATACTCAATGCTGCCTCTAAGTCCTAATAGATCAACTTGGCAACTTTTTCTCCTCAGGTCTCAGTTTAGTAGCAAAGATCCTACAGCAAGTTTAGAGCAAGGCTTAAAAAAGCCCCTTTCTCCCTTGCAAGATTCAAATTTTAGACCTCATACTCAATAGCCTGAATAACAGACTTTCACATAATGCAGCTCATTCATTACATCTCACCCACACTTCTTAAATGCTGTTTAATATTTCTGATCATGCACAGTCCATTATTGCAGCCAAAAATGTTTTTTATTTGCAATTATTTTATGCCTTTTAATGCTGCACACTGCAGGGTGTTTAAATCCTTCACAAATTAAGTTAAAAAAATGCAGAAAAACTATGAAAGCAAGATACATATAAGACTGCATGTTCTCCTTGTAAACAATGTGAAACTGTTACAGAAGTGGATGGAAAATAACAAATTCCAAGTAGATTCCAACTGGCGCACAGAGATAAATTCGACATGAATTATTTTGAAGTGCTGTAATGAGTTCCAGGCTCCAAACTTTGAAAAAGTGAATCCCACATACAATAGGATCGTACATCAACACACTGCTTTATAAGAAACCTGATTTTCAGTATTACTGGACAACAACGTGAATTTTCGGTGTGGCAGGAACTTTGCCTTAAAGCTGTTATGGTTAACAAGCAAACGTGCTGTTCATAAATCCAGTGCAGTGTTAAAGTGAGATTAAACTGGGTCTTTGGCATGCGGACAGGAGAGAGGGAGCGAGGATGTGAAGAGGTCACAACACACCGCAGCCAGAGTCTTTCCATAGGAAGTTTCTTTGGGAAATTAGTTTCTTCACTGGTTAGGGTAAAACCATCTCCCTGGACTCAGAGGACAACCCTACAACAGCTCCTTGCCTCTGCAGCAAGAGCTCTCCTCTGACACAGGCCAACCACCACCAACCCATCCCACTCTGGACTAGAGGAAGGAAGGTCAGTCTGTAGCTTCACATCTACCTCCCCCAGGTGTAAAGCAGCATCACTGCTTAAAGAAATGTTTCTGCTGCTGCTCCTCCCTGTCCCTAGGACAGACCCTTCTTTTTGACTTGGAATCCCTCCTGGTCACATCAGGGCTCCCCTGCTGAGGCAGCAAAGCCCCTTCCTGCACAAGCAATGATGGATCTGTGTGTGGGCTCAGCCAGGGAACTGCAGGAAAGCCCTGGCACAGCAACACGACCCTGGCACAGCACCACGACGCCTGCCCAGGAAGGCTCAGCATCTTCTCAACCCAGCTCAGACGGAGGAAAATTCCACTTTCAGGTTCTGTCCCATTTCCCCAGCCATCTGCTACTCCATTATTTTAGCATTACGTAGCACGGAAGCCTAAGACTTTGCTTTGGAATATCAATTGTTAAATTCTAGGGGAAAAAAAATACGGAGCCTGAGTTGCATTAAATGTGATTGGTGAGAACTTGCACGGCTGAGAACCCCATCGATCTATTTGCTCTGCGACTCACTGACTGGATAGAACTCATTAGAAACAGATTTATGAAAGTGACTCAGAATTTGGAACAAATTAAAGATGAGTAACAAAAAAAAGGAACTGAAAAAATGTGTTCTATTCATTTAGAAATGTGCAGTGCTGACAGCACGGACTGAACCAGCTGAAGATACAGCCCCGGTCTCCTGATTTCAAAGCCTTGATATTTGTTTCCTTCTGCACCCTCGCTGCTTTACAGTACAACTGCAGAATAGAGAGGTGGGGTTTGTGTTTTGTTTTTTGTTGCTTGTTTGTTTTCAAAGTTTTCTTCTTCCTTTTCTTGGATGTACTTCTGCTAAGCTAAAGCTAATAGTGATAATACTGCAAGCAATAACAGCAATACCAAATATTAATAGGACCAGGAACTGGGTATCAATTTTCCTACTGCATAATGGAATCTCGTTCTTTTCAAAAGTCTGTTTTACAGAATACAAAAGTTCTTCAGTAAGATACTATTTCAATTGCTTCCAGTTTTTATAAAAATCCTACCAAAATTGAAAACTTCTCCTTTAAGCTACTGCTACATAGCGTAAACTGATACCTCGTGCCCTCCTGTTCGTGGGGGAAAACAAGAGCTCTTATTAACGTCTTCGAAGTACACAAAGTTTTTCCTAGTTTGGCTTTTACATCCATTCACAGAGCCATTAACACAGTAAGTCTATTAACAAATGCAAGGGGTTTCACAAGTTCAATTGTGGTAATTAGTCATTATTTCAGCTTTAAATGACTCTCTGCTCTAAAGAAAGATTATGGCTTTTCTTGCTCTATTACCCAATTGGCATTTAAGTCAATCTGCTAAAAATGTATCTGCCTCAATGGAAGCTGAAAATAACCCATTAAAGGAATATGCAAATCTGAGCTTTTTTCCCTTCTTAATACTTTAATCTAATAAGAACATATTATATTACTAAGAAATTCTGGTTGAATCCGTTATTCAGCTCTCCTTAGTTCTTTCATAATTCCACTTCTGCTGTCATGAATAAGGCAAAAATATTAAGCTACTTTCACGGCAAGATGTTTATAATGACTTCAGGTTATAACACAGGTTGCAGAAAACATTCATCCCAGCTCACATTCATAGCATTTAGCACATGGAAGAAAGTACTTCCACAGCACACGACCCACTCAACCCCTTATTTCAAAGCAGATGAGGACACGTCTGTAGAAAGTAGCACCAAAAATGTACTATTCCCAAGATCCCAGCTGAAATGATGGATTGTGGTCTTCTGAAATAAGAGTGTCTGCTGTGCTTTTGGTCCCTTCAAATGTGCAGGGACACAAAATGTAAGCTGACCTCTCCTGCCCGAACAAATACGGCACCGGGAATTCAGCAGATCGGGTACTGAAAGCAGCCAATGCTTGGCATGAAAACATCTACCCCTTTCAAAACACTGACATAGACCCAAAATACAGCTCTTTACACTTCACAGCATTTATGAATTCCTTAGTCATTCAATGCAAGCCAAAAATTAGAAATTTTAAATATTAATGTGATAGCTTAACTTTCTAAGAGTCTCTCCCTCGCATTAACTATCTGAAAGTTTTGGAGCAAGACGCAGCCCAAGCCAGCAGAGCTTCCATTACACTGGTGGTGTTTCAGGACCACAGCACACGCCGTTCTGCCTTACAGTGATGCCTATTTTAGCTCATTTTCAGGAGCTTTTGTACAGTACAAGTCAGTCTCCTGTGCTTTATGCTGGCCTCTTCTTTTCAGGACCTTACATGCGAGGCTTTGTTAAATGGTTTTTAAAAACTACCTGTGGTAAAAGAAGAAAAGAAACTAAACCCCATACCATCCTTTTAATGTGGAAAATGATTTCTACTTCAGGATAGTTGTTTGATACAAGAATTATTAAAACCCCAGCATACTCAAATGGCTTTCAGCCTTTTCAGAGCACAACTCTCCTCTCAGGCATACGGTGTCCATTTAAATTCCACTTCCAGTAATGCTGTACGTATTTATCATTCTGTTTGAGAGGAATTTACAATAAAATCTGTTTTGCTTTAAGAGAAAAGAGCATTTCTGTTCACACGAGGGCTTACATTGAGGTTAACACCCTCCTGGCTTCCTCCAAATACTGTCAGCAGAGCTGTCCCTTTGAAGCTCAGGGACGCTGCCAGTACAGCACAAACCCAGCTCTTCACTTGCTTTTGCTGGGTGAGGCATCACTTGGTTTTATTCTTCGTTTACAGCTGATTTTGATCCGTAAATAAGAAAAAGTCATCTTTTTTTCCTGACTAAAGCATTATGATTCACCAAGTTGCAGTGGGAGGGGGAATTGCATTGGGTTTCCTGATTATCACAGGTTTATAAATGCACATCAGTGGATTTATCTCACCTACATGTTTAGGCACTCATAGAGTTCAGAGCTGTTTGAGCTCCTTGCTTGGAGGGAAGCAGGCACTACACTTTGAAAAGAAGTGTTTTATCACATCCTGGTGTAAATGCCTGCATCACGTGGACAGGTGTCCTCTTAGAAAAGATGGGCTCTATTGAGAAAATGCTTTAGGATGAGACTAATCACATCTGAGGAGAGCTCATTTCTCCACGCAGGCTGTAAAAGGATTCACTGCATCTCTCAGTTTCAAATTTACAGCGTTGGCATTTAGATATGAGTGGATTAAGCTCATCCTATATGTTGGATGAAGTAAAATAAGGTTTAAATTGATAGCATAATCTGTATATGCATTGTGCTCAGAGCCAGCTACTGCTGCCTGGCTGGAGCTGGCCTGTCTGAGCACGCTGCTTCAAATAATGAGAATTCCCTGTGCTAGTGTGACCGAAGGAGAGCTAATGCACTGCCTCGTGCCTTTTGCTTCCCATTAGTAGGACACTTACTGAAGATTTCCTTCCTAGGGATTTCAGGTTAAAAACTGTTATATCTTTATTCTTGTCTCTAAGTGTTGCCTTCCTTCTACACAGTGAGTGGTTAGGCATTTAATCACGTCAACTTACATCTCACTGCATATGCAGGAAATGTAGCAAAAAGCTCATTTAGGGCCAAGCAGCGTGTGTGCAAGGACTGTCAGACCTAAGTCCTCTGTAAGTAGAGCACACCGACTTTCATCTTTTTCAGTTCATTCCTTCCCTTTTTGGACCAATTTCTGGACATATTATGCAAACTGAAAGAGTAGATGCAAATTCCCTAGCGGCTATTAGCATGTCTAGACTCATTCATTGACCTAGAAGATGTCTTAATTGCCTCTTTTCTATCTGATAGGAAAAATATGCTCTAATTTTTCCAGGCTGCAGTCTTTTATAAGTTTTCTAACCAAAATTGAAATAACTGAATTTCATGGAAAAGCAAGTTCCTTGAGACCCAGAATGTGGAGCATTTATCACATACTTAACATGATCTACAAGAAACCTCTGTTCATTTAAATGCTTGTTTTCAGGATTTTTTTTTTTTTGTCTCTTTGCTACTAGACAAGGTAGTGGCTGTATCTATGAATCTTACTAGTTTTTACAACATACTAATAAGCTAAATAGTGCTATTTACAGGTATGTTTTTTAATCAGCATTGAACATTTACATGGTCTTTATTTTAACAGTTATGTTTTGTGGAAAAGGATGTTTGATAATTTTCAGATGAGTCCAACTTTACAAACGTTATCTATGACACAACCAACTGCACTCTCACGCCATGTCTGGACTAGAAATGACAACGGGAAAATAAAATGGAGCCAGAGACTGTGGTATAACTTCTGTGGGTATTGTTTTTCAAGGGGACAATTAACATATTTTCCTTCTGCACAGTTTGCCAAATGCCTAAATGTAGCCAGCCACCACATGGATTAACAATGAAATTGTTAGATTAACTGGTACAGAATTTGAATCTCAAGGTGAAAATCTGTGTTCACATCAAAGGTCTTCATTAGTAGCAAGGAACCTGACTCTCAAATGAAGCAACACATTCGGCAGATGCAACATTTTGTGATTTTAAGATTAAAAGAGCCTAAGAAGCTTTTGGACCGTGCATTGCATCAAATTTACACTGCTGCGTCAGTGAGCACTAAAAGCCAAAAAGTATTAGCAGATTTAAGTGAGGATGCATTTCACTGATTGCTTCCTGTTAATGAAATTTTGTTTTAATCATTTAAACTGTTAATGTATTTTTTTGTATCAAGAACTTTATAAAAATTATAGCATACACTGTATATCATGTGTCATTTACAAGATAGTTTTAGCTCTAGGGAATCTCCACAGTTTGAATAATAGGTTTTTATACAAAAGGGATCAACAGTTTGTAATGTTAGCTTCTTTTATTCCAATCCCCTCTCTACATGTATGTAATGCCTAATGGAAGCAGTAATTAAAGCTCATTTTTAAAGGTCCCCCAGGTTTCCAAACTAAAGCAGAGCATGAGGACTTTACTAACACAGAGCCTGGGCAACACAGGCAAGAAGCATCCTGATTATCCAGCACTGACAGACAGCTCATCTCTATTAGGGTGGCTCACCTCGATTTAGGGTGCAGCCATTCACAGCAGTTGGTGTTCTCCCTCTGTGCTTCCTCCGTGGGAGCACAGTGACTTTGCTGCCAGAATATTCTTCGGATCTTTGATCCATTGAAGACACTTTAGGATTTTATGAGCCCGTTCTAGTACACATGCACACGGAAAACACAACAAAATATCCCAAATCCACATTATAACGAAAACTTGAAGAAAGCCACGCTATGTAGAACAGAATATTTGTTCCTTTACTCCATACACATAACACATTTTCCCATCCTTTCAACTATTTTTATTCTGCTCAAAACAAGGCTGTCTTCAAGGACAACGCGTTCATTCAAAGTATGAACATCTCATTCACGGCCTTTGACAGCCTGATAAAGAATTTTACTGCAGAACATACAGTTGGGTATTTTCCTCCACCAGACTCCCATCGTGAATAATACTCTTTCAGACTAGTTTAAGCACTTTCCTGGAAAAGAATAATGACTACAATCCTTTGGCTCCTCATGCTTGTATTTTTCCCTTACCATCTTCTCAAGAATGTATTCATTTCTAAGGCAGCAAATCCTTTTTTTGGTGTGGCTGATCACAACTCCTTTCACATCAGGGAATCCACAGCAGGATTACACCAGAGGAGTCTCTCTCTAGGAGTATATCTATACTGCTTGGGTACTTTGCTAAGCTGCTGAATGGTGTCTGGCTTCCTAAACTGAATCCTGAAGCTAGGATTTACTTTGACCTACAGTTTGTGCTTTAATAATTAAATCCTAGAAATGATTCCAGGAAAATATAAATAGAAAAAGTCTGCATCTGAAACACAGGAAGGCTTCCCTGTAGTTTCCGAAGCAGTTGATGTGTACAGGTTTAGCGTGCCAGCCCAGATCCTGTCAGGCAAGAGGTCTCAGCACGGAGCCTGCTGGCAGCTGCATCCTGCTGGGGCACGGAGCTGGCACCCGCTCCAGACGGGGACAGGGGGTGCTGCGGCCAGTATTTAGGTACCACACAGCAAAGATGTTCTCAAGGGATTCCGCTGAAACACATCAAGTGTGTTGGTATTGGTCTAAATAAGATTTTATTTTAAAATACTTAAAGTGTTTGTACAGAACAATCATTGTGACAGCACACATTTTGAAGAAATGCATGCAACACAGACTTTTTTTTAATACCGTTACATGAATTGCTAATTTTAATTTGTCCCCTTTTTAACTCGACTCTGATTTCCAGTAGAAATTGTTAAATCAACATTTTGTATTATTGTTAAGCACCGTACTAAATATTTTCTAGTAATAGACTTGTTCTAAACTTCATTCTGAAGAGGCTGTACTACAAATCTGAAATGACTGGAGTGGGAAGGAACTGAAGAATTTGATATTACTATTCCTATCAAAAGCTTTCTATTTTAAGAAATATTTTTGTTATTTGTAGTTGAATTACGAGTCCTTCACCATTATAAAGTATTCTGAATAACATTTCTACCATAACTTTGACTGTGGGGTAATGAAACCTTAATTAGGAATTCTGTATATTGAATTCTGTGCTCCACAGAAACTTCAAGTTTCATTCCTTAGGTGGAATTAACTTCTTATTAGAAAAAGGAAGACGCTAGCATAGAAATGAAAGGAAAATGATGAGTTTAATAAGAGAAGAAGGATCTGCAAAGGGATCAGAAGGATTTGAGGGCTGGGATGTCTTTCAGCACTGGGGAGAAGAGGCTGAGATGACTCTCGTGATTTCTCCCCTTCCAACAACACACAAACCACTTCTGTGATTCATACAGAACACAGACCATCATTAATGGTTTTACTGAGGGAGATTAAGCATTTTCTTAACTTCCCTTAATGATGACTGCCACAAAGTCATCATTAAAGGAAGTTAATAAGATGTTTCTAAAATATAAGTGAATGTTGTTAGGTATGGGGATGAAACTACTTTTACCACTTCAAACCGATGAAAGACCCCAACAGTTTAACACTCACTTATTCCATTCCAGAAGACTACGCATGCAGCTTTAATTTAATAATGCTTAAAGAAGCATTTGAAACAAGGACGTGAAGCAATGGCCACGTTACACTGAGCTGAGCAGACAGCTTCCAGCGGTGTGCCATTTTCATCAAGACTTCAGTCCCAGACGCGAAGCTGCTGTGACAGGTATGACCACAGAGGACAAATAAAAGCTTCTCGCACTGGAAGCCCCTTGTATGAAAAATGCCTTGAAGCAAATTGGAGGAGCTACATAAAGTGGGCTTGTTTTCTTTAGTGATTCAGAATTTCAGACTTATACTAACAAGATATTAAATGCCCCTTTTTTATTGTGCATATTGTAATACTTTGCAGAAGTAATAATCAGATGTTCTTAAATAGCAGAGGCACATTTTTGGATTAAGACTCTTCTTATGTAGCCCCCCAGAAAACTTTGTCAGTTTTCTGTTTCTTGTGGACTATACTTGGAAACAAATCACTTCAACTGCTACACCTTTTTTTTTTTTTTTTTTTTTTACTGTCACTACAATCAAGCAAAATCAAAATGATGCAAGCTGACTGCATCACTGCTTCTTCATCTTGAGGAACATGCTGGTTTAGATATTTTTATTTACTTCTGTACTTGGCTCTCTGGCTGTATTGCACTCTAGTTCCTCAGGCTATCAGTAATCCCCTTATTGTTTCAAAAAAAAAAAAAAAAAGAAAAAAAAAGAGGCATTTACTGTGGATTTTGATGCAGTTATTGAGGATAGGGTCCCAGGGGTGGTGATCATGTCTAACTTTTAAAATGAAATAATACTGGTGGAATGCAGCACATGGCAGTCCCAAGATGGATGCTATAATACCATACACTACCATAATAATTCTTTCATTTTTTTTAATCATTTGATAATCTGTGTGCCATCTTTCATCTTCATGTTTTTCTAAATACAGGTCGAGACCTGCTAATACTGACTTTTAATACCTTTGGAGATCTGAAGGCTAACAGTACTGTGCAGCTGTGGCATGGGGCAAGAAATAGGCAAATTTATTTCTGACACTTGCAGAAATGCTTGAGTATGAACATGCAGTAGTTAAAATTGGAATCAAATTAATGCAAGTGTTTCTGAAAATGTGGAAGACCAAGTACAAATACTTAGATTCTTGCAGCAAGCTTTTTCTATATTGGATTTAAAGCTTAAACACGTGTTTTAGTATCAGATTATCATAATTTAGGAAATATGTGGACATACGGTGAGATGCACCATTACATTGTAGTATCTGCATGTTTCCCAAAGTACATTTAATTGCATGGTAACTTCCAAATTATTATTTTTTTTTAATATTTTTTTCCTTATTGGAAATACATATTTAAGAATTAAAGTATAATCCTAATGGCTTATTATTGAGTTGTAGAAGCTAACTTTAAGACTCTTAATGTTTCAGCTCAGCATTTCTAAGGACCCTTGTTTTCTTACTGTTTGTGCATTTACAGATTAATGTTTGAATCAAAGGCCTTCAGAAGTTGCTAGGTGACTGAACTGGAAAAGTCTAACCAAATAAGAAAAGCACTTCTTGAAGATGAACTGAAAAGGGAAGCAAACACTATTTGTTCACCTCATTGCTGCCTTAGCATGAATAAAGAGAGCTTCAGAACTAAACCATAAGCATTTACTTGGAAAATAAATACCTTCTTTCTTCTTCTTATTTGGCATAGCCCTAGAAGGACCTACTAAACAGCAAAGCATAGTATTATGAATTTGAGAACTTACACCTATGGAAGTTAGCTTATAAAAAAAATTTTCAAAATTACGCTGTTCTGAAAAAACTCTCTTGCTGTTACTCTTCTACATATAACTTGAGTGTGAGCTCAAGCATACCATTTTCAGCACATATTTGCCTTTAAAATCCTGGCTAAACTGGGTTATTATGGAAATCGAGACAGACACATTTGCGGAATATAGGTCTGAGAAACAAACCAGGGAGAAGTATCAGGAAGAATGTCATCCCTGGAAGGCCACCAGCAGCACTGCACACGAGCAGGGTACACGGCAGGGGTTGCCCACGCCAGCTTTAGTTAGCAGACTCATTAGGACACAGATGGACCAGAAGCATGAAGATAATTTCCAGGTCTTTCCATGAGATGATGCACAAGCCACGTAATACACTGCTCTACCATGCCAGGGTACAGAACCCTGACGGGGTAAAATAAAAGTGGTAGCAGCTTAGCTAAGAGTGTGGTTGTACATGCAGAACCAACGTTGCATGGTCCCTACCTGTAATTCCATCCATACAAGAAATGCTTTTGGCCTGTTTCTAGGAAACTTAAACCACAAATTTCTCTCTCTCAAAACAAAACAAAAAACAGTAGTCCAGACAAACAATTTTAGCTGCAGATAAACCTGAAACGTTTGTCTTGTTCTTAAAACATTAAGATTTACAAAATGTTGTTAGATTAAAATAGCATTTTTTATCCTTAAGATATTAATTGTGATTTCAACCAAAGATGAGGTTCAAAAAACACACTGACAATTTTTTACTTACACTAAAACTTGAAACACCATTCTGAAATAATAAGAGTTTCCCCACAAGAATACGCTTCTAATGTTTGTGAGATTTAACCTTTTTTCCTGAATTGCCTTTGTTGTCATGCCATCCTTTGTTTCCAAGGTAGCAGGAGCAAACAGGAACGTGTACTGAGCCAGTCTTGGGTGTTTTGTATGGACTCACGTTATTCCTCTAACTTCAATCTGTTCTTTTGTGCAAAAATGCCAGAGCCGAGTTCATACAAAACCGGCACACAAGAGTCTCTTCAGATGGTAAGGGAGTTTATTTCAGCCAGTCCTAGCTGATATTAAAACCAAAGTCACTGAATCAGAGAAATAAAACCGCAGTAGAAGGAGTCACAGAACCAATGGCTCAAAATTTATAGAGAATAACATTGTGGGAAGTTCCATATGGGAAAGCACTCACATTCTTCTGTGTTCAGCTCCTTCAGCAGCGATGGCCCTATAAATGCAACTCACTGCATGAATCCCACCACTTCCGCCAATATCCCAAGACATTCACCGTAACTGAATTCTCCTTACTGGCAGAATATCTGCTGATTCCTGCCAGCTTTGAACAACCAACCCACTATCTCTACATATGACAAAGAAAACTGAGGCAAACATTCAAATCTGACAGCTTGCTGGAGAAGGGTAGAGGAAATCAATTAAAAGAGAGAGGCAAATATCTTCTCCTCCTCCTCTCCTATCATTCAGAAGAGCCACGATGCACTGTACGTTGAGGCAACAGCCACGTTGAGTCATCTGGCACCAAAAAGCAAGGCCGAAAGGTTACTGCAAACACCCCTCCTGACCCTGCCTCGATAGATGACTTTCAGCAAAAACAAAATGTTAATGCAGCACTAATTTGTCTGCCAACAGTGCTCAGTTCTTTTGCAACCGGGACTTAGAATATCTTCTGTAGGGAGGCAAGTAACTGGTTTGCAAGCATAGAGTTACTCTGTTTTACTCTGAGGTCCTTGTACAAGTTTTAACTTATCTTGTAAAAAAAAAAAAAAAAAAAGCGTTCAAAAACTCTACAGCCAGCTAAGCAGTGCAAAGACAGCACTAAGTACTTTATATTTTTGCATATAGACATTAGCCTTTCCACACACACAAAAAAAAATAAAAAATAAAAGAAAAAGAAAAGCAAAATCAACACTCATTTAGCTTATCAGTTCTGAAACCAAAAAGAAAAGGCATGATCAGGAAGAGGAGGAAGGAGAAAAAAACGCTGACTTCTGCGCACCACGTTGATGAGAAAAGCATTTCCCAATCCAGGCCTTTGTGCAGAACCACGGATGTGGTACACGGCACTCTCTAGGAAGTGTGCTCACTTCCACGCATCTGACAAATACAAGAGTATTTAATCCAAAGAGGCTTACATGGAACAATGTAATTTGATCCGTTTCTGGAAACCAAATTCTTCAGAAAAGGAAGCTTAAGAGCAGCTGAACATCTTCTCCATTCCCAGGTCCAATTACAAAGCCGCCCTTCGCTGCTTTTAAAACTCTTCTCCATTTGTCTAACTGAATTTGTTTACTTTCCTGTGTCACGCCCCTTATATGACACCATGTTCATCTTCCCTACGACATCCCCTCTGTTGGGAAATTACTGCCTTTCTTCAGATTTCCATAGTGAACTGTCTCAGATTCACTTTGCTTTCAAAACAAAGTTTCAAATGCTTCTCAACTCCTTTTTTAACTCTCTAATTAGTTGTGTAACTGAATGTTTTTATTCATAAAGTTTTCTTGTAGTAATTTCTTCTGTATTTAACTGTGAAAACAACTTGACATACAGCTTGAAAGACACCATGCAAAATTAAATTATTGTGTGTAATGAGTTATTGCCTTTGAATTTCATTAGATAGAAATGTTATTAAAAATAACCAAGTTTTCCACGCATGTTTAGTATTTACCTAATTTCATTGTGGATGTGGTTTTAAAGAATTATACAGGCTGAACTGATAATCACAATACCACATTCAGTTTGTGTTGCCTCAGAAAACAGAATCCGTCAACACCAGACAAAGCTGATTCAGACGGAAGCAGAACGTTAATTTTGTGTTGCATTAATATGCACAATCCCCAAAGCACTCGCTTTACTTAATATTAATTAGAAAACATTATGTAAGTCTGTTTAAAATATTCAAATCGAGTTTTGTTACATTTTTATTTAGAGCTAGAACATATGATCAGCTTAGCTTCACCAAACTACCTAATTAGCCATCTGCTTCTTGAAATTTTGTTAAATATGTATTATATAGTTTTAACAAAAGGGTATTTTATCATCTCGTGTATTCTTCTCTAATCATACTAAAGCACATGACCAATGAAGTCTTCTCTGTTACACAGAAACATACCCCAAAGGAAAGAGACTGCCCTTCTTGGATCCATCAACGCCATGGGACATGAACACAGCTATTGGGAAACCAGGCAAGAATACCTCAAACAACTTGCAGCAACTTTTTTTGAAAGCCAGGAAGGAATATTAACCAGCTACGAAACACCACCACCACCACAAAAACATGCAAACAAACAAAAAATACACAAAAAATTCCACCAAACAAGAAATCAAAGAAAAAAACAAAAACACACAACTCTCACACAAACCCAACCCATAGTCTTTTGCTCAATAAAAATGTCCATATCATGTTCTACTGCTTTCACTTAATCCTTCACTCCATGATGACACTCATCCGTTTATTTCTTCCAACTCTCTCCTCAATACATAAGGACCCATATGGACCTAGAGCACTCAGAACACCAAATTTTGAAAAATGTGTACTGCCAGAGGTAATGCATTAAGAATGACGAAGAGCAACAAGAGGTTACCTTGCCTCCTTCCCACAGGTTTTTAAAGCTGTGTTGGACACAGCTTGAGACCCCCTTACAGCTGTAGGCTCAGGACTGCACACAGAACCAAGAAAGTCGTTCACGTGCTGGCACTACTCCCTCTGTCCACCCTGGGCTGACCAGAACCCAAAACACATGCAGCTGGTTAAGCATACAGCCAGTGGACAGAAAGGAACAACAAAGCACTCTGGCTAAATGTCATCAAACAATATAAGAATTTAAGTAGCTTCTTCAACAGACCCCTCCTTCTCTTTTACAAGTAGCAATATTCCAAGGAGCAAAAGACTTACCTGAAAGCTGCACTTTCTCTTTCCATTTTGCTGCTTTACTGATCTCTTTAACCAGCAAAGGACCGTGAGAGCTAAGCTAAACCAGCACAACAATCCTAATGCTATTAAGCGGGCAATCCAATTAAGCCATTTCCAAGTAGTGTTTGTCATTAAAGAGAGCTGTAAGTGAACAGCAAGCATGTCCATATCTGAAAATCAGTAATGTGAGTTGTCTAGAAACAGCCCTGCCAGGGCTTGGAGCTCAATCTAATACAAATCAAGAGCATATAGTTTCAGGCCATTTGTATTTTTAATGTCGAGAAGCATTTGTACTCCATGCTAAATAACCTTTTTCTTGACTTATGCAAAACAGTTTGGTCACAATCATTACACAGTAAAAATGTGCTGACAAACAAGCACACAACTTGTCTTGCCAAAATTCTACCCGCATGTCAATGCCAAAGAATGTTACCCTCCAACGAGCCTCAATCCAAGTCCAACTCCAGTTACGTTCCCAGTCCTCACACAGATCACAGATTACTCTGCTCCTTAAGAACACTGTTTTTCTCTGATAGTTTCAAAAATGAAACCAGAAGATGTAGGCTCTCTGAGCTGCTAACCTGAAAGTGGATGGAATGGGTGTCATTGCAGAGGACTGCAGAAGCCACACGGTTTGCATCGAGAGCTGCTAGTGTGTAATAAAATGGAAAGGGAGGAACGGGAAGAAGATGCATGCATATGTGCAGAAAGTCATCTACCAAGCAACAGGATAACCATTTCTTCCCTAACAATTAATCCTCTAAAGGTTGTCCTGAATGGACTAAAAAGCGATCAATCAGCACCAAGTGTAAGTATTCACAGATTGCTCATAGGATGGCTAATACATTCTTGCTCATTTCATCTTTGTGAAATTCAATTAAATATTAATATTAATTAATAAGGATTGATAACAATTACATCCCTATAAATATTTAATTAGTGGAGTGAAAGGCCAGAATTTCCTGAACCATGTTGCACAAAATCCTGCTGGACACAGCATCACCACTGCTTCCCCACACAGGGACGGCAAACAATTGCTGCTCACCTCCAACAACAAAAAAAGCTAGGAATGGGAAAGATGATGACACTGCACTAACTGGAGTTCTTTAGCTGAAAATCTGGCCATATAAGCATGTCATATCATGCACAATGGCAGTAAGAATGGCCATCAGCCATTTCACCGCACAGAGTCATAGAACAGCTTGGGTTGGGAGGGACCTTAAAGATCTCCCGGTTCCAACCCCCCTGCCATGGGCAGGGACAAAATGCCATCTTGATTTTTAAGTCAGCTCAATACTTAAAGGTAATTTCTGCAGCTATACACACATTTCTTTCCAATAAAAGTTTAGAAACTTAAAGAAAACAGGAAAGATTAATTTCATTCTCTTAAGGAAAGATTCTGGGGTATATTTTATTTTCAAATAAATAAGCATAGTTTTTTTAATACAAAGACAAAAAATACATACATATTAAGTACCTCAAACCTAGAAAATAACAGTTTATTTACTTATTTCTATTAATTTCAGCTGCAATGTATTGCTTTTGGTTTCTCTTCTCAAGAGAAGAAAGGAATGTGCATCTAGTTCCATGGAAAAATATATTTTGCAAATACAATGTGTACTATTTCAGACATCAAAAGTCCCAGCTGACATTACACAGTACAAAAGTCAGAGAAGAATGGTAGAAATCCAGGTATTCAGAAAAGATACAAGAGAGGGGAGAACAAGTGAATTTATCTGAGTCTTGATGTGTTTCCAAGAAAGAAACAAAGTTGATCTTGTGCTCACATCACATCTGAAAATTCTCCTGTTTCTCAGAAGCAAAGAAGATGACTGAGTATTGTTTTAATCATAAGCCGGTGTTTTCAGTGGATCCACCAAAGATAGTGTCTCAACTGAGCATTTTGGACCAAAATATTGAGCCGTGAGTCATCTGACTTACAAAGCCAGCTCCTTTGTCTTCTCTAACTCATGCACTGCAAGAGAGAAATTATAACATCAAATGTAAGGACTTTTGCACCCTAGAATGGCAAGACTGAAATTTAGCGTATGAGTAAACAGCTGAAAGGGAATGCTTTTGTAACACACTGCAAGAAATGCTGCATATAAAAGCACTTTTGAGAAATATGGGCGAGTCTGCAAAAGCAGCTTACAGAGCTCAGGCAGTCCGTACTCCCAGCCAAACGGCAGCCTGCTTCTCCGGCCGAGCTCAGCACACCGGCGCGACATTTTAGGTTCAACTTCATGGAAAACAATGATAGTTACTGTAGAAATAAACTCTACCAACACACTTCTTCAGGGGTATAATACAGAAAGACTACAGATTTATGAAATCTGTTGCCTAAATTTTTTGGATAATGAAATTCTCAGGATAAACCAGGAGTTTATTTTTATACCAGTTCCGACAATTTTTGACAGTCTGCTTACATTATCTCCTAAAAATATTTTCTTTCATATAAAAAGCATACATTTCTAGTTGGACCCTACTGCTTACTTTGTTAGAAATAAGCAACCAAAGGATAATAATGTTCTTCTCAACAGCCCAGTAAAATTCAGTCACTAGGCCAACATCAAAAAGCCTCACCAACTCCTGATGTCCCCTGAGATGAACAAGGCAACAAAAGCCCAGGGTGGCAGGGGCGACACGTGGCCACATAGCTCAGAACAGTGTCACATCACTGTTTAAGCTCAAAGAAAGTGACAGCTCAGTGACACGCAAGATGAAGCAAAAAGCCAGAAGAGTTTATAAGCAAACATATTACAACGTTATTTAATCAAGCAGACCATTCCTGATTTCTGCAAGAGTGCTACTGAAAACAAAAAAAAATCATAATTTAGTTCAAAGAGCAATAAAATAGTAAAAATACTATAATTAAAAAAAAGGGAAAACACCAGGTAAAGTAAACAGAAAGAATACAAAGAATTCAAATTGACTTTATAGGTGGTTGCTTGATGATATACCCAGGGCTGCAGAGGCGATAAAGATCCCAGCCATGCACCCCAGCCACCTCCTCATGCAAACGATTTCCTCAGGACCAGGCCCTGCATTTTTGCATAGCACCCAGGGACACGAGCAGACCATGGCCCCAAAGTACGAGAGCTTCTGCCACATTACAGAGCAGCAGCACCGCACAGCTCACATCCTGGTGCCAGCATAGACGCCTGCGGTCAGCCCAGTTTGAGTGAATGGGAAGCACTGGGACCAGACTGGGTGGTGGCTGGCAGCCAAGTACATCAGGCAGCCTCTAGTATACACAAGCTTCAACTAGGGAAATTTCCAAAAAAAAATTAGGAAAAAGACTTTCATGCAAGGGAGGTCAGCCTCTAGAACAAAAGGTCTGTGCTGGCCAGAGGAGAAGAAATCCTGGTCCCTGGGGATGTCCTAAACCCAAGGGCTATGCCCTGAGCAAGCTGACCAAACTTCAAAGCTGGATCCAAGCCCAAGGATGGCCCTGCTTCAAGCAGGGGGCCACGAGAAAGGACTTGCAGAGGTCTCCTCCAGCTCTGCTCATTCTGGGTGCCCACTTTCCATCACAGTTTCATGGAAAAGTGAAAGCTGGGGGTGGAGGGGGGGAACAGTTTACTCTCAAACTACTCCACAGCTTTAAAGTCAAGTGATTCAAAAGGTCAGATTATTAGTTGGGGAGAGGAAAGAAATGTCAAGTTCTACTTTCATTACCGCCCACCGTAACTTCACAGTTGACTGATATTCACAAAGAATATGAAGACTCAGATAAAAGCTTCATCTTGAGCTGCTGCTGCCTGTACTACTTGCTTACCTATTAATTAGAGAAGATAGTAATAGCACAATAACACAGTTCAGTTGTATTCTTACATCTCATTCACTGCCTCCCCTTTTTCCCTGTCTTTGAGGAAGGTACACATTACTAACCCACTTCTTGTAAAGCTCAGGGAAGCTGTGTTATCTCTGGAATTAGAGCCGTTCGTTATTCCATTTCAAGCCGCAATACTGAATTTATCAAGCATTCAACTTTTTTTTTTTAATGCACTTACTATTAAACATATTACTGGCATTTATTAGCATTGCTGACGTACCACAGAATGTCTAAAAACATCAGAAAATTGGTGCTTTGATAGCACGGACAGACGATGCTGCTGCAGCTGGCTCTGGCTCCGTGGGATGCCCCGAGCCTCACAGGCACCCACTGCACGTTGGCCTCAGCTCGGCCTTTTTAATTTCTGTTGTTAGGGAATACCAGGGTAACATGCCACCCATAAGCCTTGGGATTAATCTGCTATAAACCCATAAGCTGCTATAAACAGTCACACACTCAGCACATATAAGAACTGCCAAAACTTCACGGTAAAAATACCCCCGTAGCACGGTCGCTCCGGTTCGAGCAACCCAGGATGGCAATTTCTTTTCTGAGTGATGACAAAAAGAGTCTGTGGAAAGCCACCGCAAAGATGCTGTAACATCAGCCGTATGGCAACAGCCAGCTGAGGCATTTATTCTCGGACCACATTGA